CTCCATTCCTCATTCCTACCTCCTCCCGCTCCTCTACAGCGCTCTCCTCTTCTTCCCCCTCAGCCTCTCACTTCCACCCTCCTCCGATCTCTTTCTCCCCCCGGCCTCTTCCCTTCAATCCTCCACTCAGCCTCTACCCCCGGCCCTTTCGTCCACCTTCCACTGTCACACAACTATCCTCCCTCTTCCCTCTCGTCTCCTCCCCTCCCTTCTTCTTCTCCCCACCTCATCTCTTACGCGTCTTCCGACAGGAGGAGGAGCTCGCCAGGATCCGCAGCGCCGGCTCCAGCAGGTTGGCAGCAGCTAACAGCTTCCTTACTGCAGTCGTCTGGGACATCCTCCCGCAGGACACGAAACTCGCTCTCTCCTCCAGCCTCGCATGTCGTCAGACCGTCCAGCATATTCTTGCCGTCCTCCAGTTCTCCTCCTTCCCCAGCGTCGTCTCCTGGTACTCTCCTAGGAAGACAGGGATGGGTAAGTGCTGCAGCAGCTGCAGCAGCGACGGCGGCGGCGGCGAAGGCGGCGGCGGTAGCAGAAACCCTCAGCTGTCCTCCCTGCCCTCAGTGGTATCCTGGTTCATGTTGCCTGTCAAACAGTCTCTCGAAGCAGCAGTGGAAGAGCAGGAGCAGGAGCGGGAGCGGGAGCGGGAGCAGGAGCAGGAGCAGGAGCAGGAGCAGGATCTCAAGCGGTTGCTCGAAGGCTACACGGAGTTGGCGCAGGGGATGTACGAAATGACGAGAGGGGAGAAGAGGAACTTGAGCATGTTTGGTTGCCCAGTGGAGGTAGACTGCCTCCTCTGGTGCTCCTGGGGGGAGCAGGAGAAAGTGAAGACGCTGCAGGTAGGAGGAAGAGGAGAGAGGAGCCGGTGCTTGCCAGGCTGTTAACGATGATGACGCAGGTGCTGAAGGCTTGCCTGCGACGGAGACTGTGGATGAAGATGCCGTCGGTGACAACATGGATGCGGTTCGCTCTGCCAGCGACAATGAGGATGAGAGGAGGAGCATTGGGAGTGTCTGATTCAGATTGGGAAGTGAGTGAGTTGTGGTTCGGAGACAGCAGCGCAGATGTCAAGCTTTGAAGAATGTGATGATGTGAGCTTTTGGAAAGAGTTTATTCTCTTGATGTCATGCTCGAATAAAACAAGTGATTTGTTTTCCCGTGTCCTTTGATTTGTTTTCCCGTGTCCTTGACACCTTTGCTTGCAGCTCTACATCTACATCTACATCTACATCTACATCTACATCTACATCTACATCTACATCTACATCTACATCTACATCTACATCTACATCTACATCTACATCTACATCTACATCTACATCTACATCTACATCTACATCTACATCTCTTCTCTCCCACTCTTCGACATATTCGCCATCCTCTTCATCATCCCGACGCCCATCGGCACGTCCTACCCGCGGTAGCACCTCACCACCTCGGCCCTGCTCATCCTGCTGCTCATCGCCCGCAGAAAACTTGTGTATGAGGGGGATGAGGACTCCCGGGAAGGTTTGCCTTTCTTTTCCAGTCAATAAAGAAGCAGAGCCATGTCAGCGATGGGCGGCAGCAGGTCGAGCAAGAGGAGGAGGCTGGAGGACACGAAGACAGAGAGAGAGGAGGAGGAGGACAAAGACAAAAGCCGGAGGGAAACAAGACGAATACGAAGAAAGATATGCGAGCACGGGCGGCGGCGATCGCAATGCAAGGACTGCGGGGGCAGCAGCATATGCGAGCACGGGCGGCGGCGATCGGGATGCAAGGACTGCGGGGGCAGCAGCATATGCGAGCACGGGCGGCAGCGATCGGAATGCAAGGACTGCGGGGGCAGCAGCATATGCGAGCACGGGCGGCAGCGATCGGGATGCAAGGACTGCGGGGGCAGCAGCATATGCGAGCACGGGCGGCAGCGATCGGAATGCAAGGACTGCGGGGGCAGCAGCATATGCGAGCACGGGCGGCGGCGATCGGGATGCAAGGACTGCGGGGGCAGCAGCATATGCGAGCACGGGCGGCGGCGATCGGAATGCAAGGACTGCGGGGGCAGCAGCATATGCGAGCACGGGCGGCAGCGATCGGTATGCAAGGACTGCGGGGGCAGCAGCATATGCGAGCACGGGCGGCAGCGATCGAGATGCAAGGACTGCGGGGGCAGCAGCATATGCGAGCACGGGCGGCGGCGATCGGGATGCAAGGACTGCAGGGGCAGCAGCATATGCGAGCACGGGCGGCGGCGATCGGTATGCAAGGACTGCGGGGGCAGCAGCATATGCGAGCACGGGCGGCAGCGATCGCAATGCAAGGACTGCAGGGGCAGCAGCATATGCGAGCACGCGCGGCAGCGATCGGGATGCAAGGACTGCGGGGGCAGCAGCATATGCGAGCACGGGCGGCAGCGATCGAGATGCAAGGACTGCGGGGGCAGCAGCATATGCGAGCACGCGCGGCGGCGATCGGTGTGCAAGGACTGCGGGGGCAGCAGCATATGCGAGCACGCGCGGCAGCGATCGGGATGCAAGGACTGCGGGGGCAGCAGCATATGCGAGCACGGGCGGCGGCGATCGGGATGCAAGGACTGCGGGGGCAGCAGCATATGCGAGCACGGGCGGCGGCGATCGGGATGCAAGGACTGCGGGGGCAGCAGCATATGCGAGCACGGGCGGAAGCGATCGGTATGCAAGGACTGCCGGGGAGAGATCAGCAGGTACAAGCAGGGGAGGAGCTGATCAGGAGCGGACATGAAGTTGCTGTGTAGCAGGTGACTTGCTTGCAGGGAGTGCATGGTCGTGCTGGGCAAGGAGGCAGCTGACTAGGGGAGGAGAGGGATGGCAGCGTGTACAGGGAAGGGTCGGGGGGTGGCTAGGAGGTGGGCGGGGAGCTGTTGGGACTCATCGCAGGCAGGAGGGAGACGCTGGCAGGGGGCATGGGAGGGGCATTGAGATGGCTTAACGTAGAACACTTGATTGGTAATAGAAAAATGAACAGAAACGGCAGAGCAGGCGGAGGGGAGTAGTTGGAATAGGCTTGTCCGGTATGACAGCCATGCAGGCATCAACAGTTTTCAGTCTGCTGACCTGAAGGAGAAGACCGTCTCAGTCGCTCGAGACGAAGCTAAGTCAAGACAGACAAGAGTAGAGGAGCACAGGGAAGGAAGGCTGAACACCAGGATGAGACATGAGGCCACCAGGAAGGTCTTTGCCGGAACCGGGCCCGGGGAGCAAGAAAATCCATGGAGGGCAGATAGCGGGGAGGGAGCACGAGGAGAGGTGATGTAGGAGAAGGAGGAGAAGCAATGTGGGGATAGCTCTCGCTGCAGGTGATGTAGGAGAAGGAGGAGAAGCAATGTGGCTGGGTTGCCCGCACTGCGGGTTGCCCGCTGGGTTGCGGTCAGGTTGCGGTTGCCCGCACGGGGGTGGAACTCGCGATGACTTCCCTGATCCAATCGAATGCCTGACATTCTTCAACAAGTGGTTAATGCACGGTGAGAAGAATAACAACTTCTTGGTGATAGGAGAGATGACGGGATTGGACAGCCATTCGTCAAATTTAAAGCGGATCTTGTTTTCATCCAGCTCATTTAGCCCATCTGCTATCCTTCGCTCCATCTCCCATGGAGTGTATGTTTCTTCCTCATCTTGATTGTCATTGGCTAATGACAGAACTTCTTCGTATCCATACCTTCGGCAAAATATTTTCAGCCTACAGAACATGTCTTTCAAGGTCAATCTTGGCCTCTTGCTCGTGCTACATCTTAGCGTCTTCTCATTCTGAACCTGCCATATGGCCTGGTTGCGTCGCAATTGCAAAACAAAATTTTTGATATCTCTCATCTCCGGCACATCCATGTGTACCATTCCCGACTGAGGTGTGACTGACAATGACGACAGGTCTTCCCCATCGTATTCATCGGCATTGTTCAAGGTGCACTCACTCTCAATGTCGTGCTCTGAAATTGGAGGCTCGAACTTGAATAGCCCTGAAATGTATGCAGCAATAGAGGAACATAGAGTTCGATCATCCATACTGGTTGCCGTTTTGCAGATTGCTTTCACCTCCTGGATGAATGTACTGGGCTTGTCTTTGTAGAAATACCGATGTATCCTCCTGGATGAATGTACTGGGCTTGTCTTTGTAGAAATACCGATGTATACAGGCAAATTCTCCATC